CTTCCTTCCTTCCTTCCTTCCTTCCTTCCTTCCTTCCTTCCTTCCTTCCTTCCTTCCTTCCTTCCGCCATTTCATAAATACATATAAAATACTGACTTCCTGTCATCTCTGTTGATTTACTGAAATTCCTTGCTACAGTGTCCATTTCATGTGCAGGATACTGTAATGGAGATTATGTGGCTCACCCCTGTGAGAGCATTCAGGGCTTGAATTTAGCTTTCCCATGGGCGAGGATTTACATATCTTTGATTTTCAAGCTCTCTCTCTTTCATTATCCACACTCTTCTATTTCCTATTTCCATATTTCTTTTCCTGACAGCCATTTTGCTTCCCTCCCCCGAGACTCTCCCTCCAGACTTTTCTACTGTAATATCCTAGCTAAGAAATGAGGCAGAGGGTCCATAGTGGCTACACAGGGGTTATAGCTGTCCRTGCTGAGGCACTTGTTTTTAATTAGGTTAAAGTGTAGCTCTACAGGAGAGTTATCAATTCCCAGTGTTTTCTCACACGTAGTGCCTGCTCTGTTGCATTCCTTTCCCCARTTTGCTTGTTTGTTCCATTTCTTTTGGTTTTGCTTTTGTGAGGTGGTTATTAATCCAGTTCTGTCTGGCACTGTCATCAAGGCTTCCCATCCTTGAAATGCTCATGTTTTTGCCATTGGTTTAGAAAGCATCAGCCTTACTTGAGCTAAATCCCCAACCTTCTTGTCTTGTTGATTTTGTTASCAAGTTTCCTTCTATTATCAAAATTTATTCTCCTGAAATCAACACCTTCCTTGAAGTCCCATGGTATTTTATCCCTTTATTGAAAATTAATTGGATCAGCTCATAAGTATTTGAGTTTCTAGGAGCATCTTGTCTGTAGTACACCCAGTGCTTACCCAAAGCCAGTCAGTGTTTGCTTCAGCGATTGCTTGTGGCAGGCATCTGTTGGCTAATCTGTTGAGGGATATCTGTGCTCAGATGCCACAAGCACCATTTGTTCACTGTCTTTCTTTCTGGGAAATTAAGTTTTCTACAAGGCAAAGGTGAAAATTCAAGACAAACAGTGTTTATATGAAGAAAATACTTATCTCTCTGGTAGTACGTAATCATCTATATACTATAGGTGAGACTACAACATTAAATTATATAAGTGAATAGACTATTTTCAGTGCTTTCTTTATAATTTCCTTAATAGAGTACATAAAATACCGTTTTTAGTGCAGCTGTGGAGCATACATTTCCACTGAACTGCCTTCACCAAGCCATGATGTGCTTGTCTGGATAAGCAGAGTTAGTTCAGAAATGATCACAGTGCAGAAGCTCTTCATGYAGCTCCTTCCAGAGTGCTCTTTGCATAAGTAGCTGTCATTTTGACATATCCTATTCCACTTCCAAACATTAGAGAGCTCTTTTTATTATTATTGTTACTGTCTTATTATAGTCACAAATTTTTCAAGGGTTTCGATAGCATCAAACAAAAATATATGAATGAAAGAATACATAGAAGAT